GGAAAACCTGTACTTCTGAAAAAAAAAAAAAAAAATCTGTGACCTTGACTGGGTAGGTCTGCAGTCTGGGAACTTTTCCTAAAATACGGATGTCTGGGTTTGGTAACCAAAGTATGAAAAATTGGGGAGAAGTCTGCTTTCATTTATTTTTTAATTAAGAAAGATTCGAGCTCTTATTCTAGTCAGCATATGATTTCTTGTATCATCTTGCAGACAGACATCAGGCATGTATGTGCACACTGCCCTCCCAAGATTCAGTCTGTTCTAAGCCAGGTAAATAAAAATCAATTCTTTGTATCGATCCAGGGCCCAAAGCCAGAATCTCCACCTGGAATTTCATTTGAAGTACTTCACTTGCCCTCTGAACATTAAGTAGAGAGGTATGCGTTTGATGGGAAAAGAGCCAGGGAGAAAAATGTCATGTTCTCTTAGTGCTCCCACCAATACAACGGCCACAACAGACCCAGCACTGGGACCCAGGAGGTGAGAGGAGCAAGACGGGCTCTGAGGAGTGGTAGCCCCCTACCAGAACAGGGACCCTGCCAGGATAGAGCGCAAGCCCCTGCCAGCCCTCAGAAGTTAGCAACTAACTGCCCTCTGCAGGCTACGGTTAAAATGTTCAACAGCTTTGAGTAATTACCAAAGCCCTCATTTGGTACATGGCACATTTTTGCTCAGCCCCAAATGTCAAAAAACAGCAGAGAGGCAAAGATAAGAGTGTACCAATCAAAGAAAAGGGCCAGGGCCAAGCGTCAAAGGCCCTGCCATGTGCGGGAAACATGTCTGAGCTAGTATGGCTGGGGAATGGTGACAGGAGGCCAGAGGTGAGTGGGCCAGACTGCACAGGGCTCACCAGGCCGTGAGAGACACCCTGGACTTGCCCGCTGGTATGTCCCACACCTCCAGAAGATTCAGACCTGCCTGGGGAGACAGGTCAACACTGTTCAATTTCTACAAAAATAAATCAAAGCAGTAAAGTCTATCACAGATTAAATGAAACTCCACTTACTTAACACAGTCCATGAGGCCCTGATCACATGGCCTCACCCACCTTACCTTCTTCCTTACCTGCTCCTGCCTCAGGACAGTGGGGCCGCAGCTTATCTGTTTTCCCCTCAACTACTATGTTGTCCACAGAACCCCCCTCAACACACATATCCAGTATTCTCTCTCTGAAGGGACGATGCTTTCTCGTCTTCCCATTTCAGTTACGTGTCACCTCCTCAGAGCTCTTTCCTGGCCACCTGATCTAAGCTCCTGGCACCTCTCACAGCACCTAGCTGGTCTCCTACACAGTGTTTAGGACAATCGTACACTTACTTCTTTAATGTCTACATCTCTCCCTCGAAAATAAGTCTGTTTTGTTCATGACTATATGTCTAAGATTTGATAAATATTTGATGAATAAACACAAAAAAACAAGTTAATATATAATCCAAAGGCAAAAGTTGCAATGTTCTTTGAAAAGAACGACTAACTTGACAAACCTTTTCCTCTTTTCCTTTTCCTGGCCAGAAAAAGGGTAGAAAGAACTTAACTAAAATAAGACATGAAAGAAGGGAAAACACTACTGACCTTACACAATAAAAGGGATCATAGTGGAATATATGAACAATCATATACTAACAGATGAGATATATGAAACAAATTACTAAAAGATTACTACAATTGACTCAACCAGAAATAAAAAATTAGCAGACCTATACAAGTAAAGAGACTGAATTCACAATTACAATGCTTCTTGCTTCCCATGAAGAAAACCCCAGGCCACAGGGCTTCACTGGTAAATCAAACATTCAAAGAAAAAATTTAATACCAATAAGTCACAAACTCTTCCAAAAACCAGAAGAGGAAGGGACACTTCCCAACTTATTCTGAGACCAATATTTACCCTGATACCAAAATCAGACAAAGACAGCACAAGAAAGCTACAGACCATATCCCTTAGAGATATAGATACTGTAATCTTCAACAAAATACTTGCAAATATATAAAAATCCAGCAATACATAAAAGGATTTGCATATAATCTTTTTGAATCCATCAATGCATAAAAATAATTATATACCCTGACCAAGAGGGATTTATTCCAAGAACCAAGGCTGGTTTAACATCCAAAAATCAATTAATGTAATACAAATACATTAATATGATGAAAGATAAAAATCACATAATCACTTCTATAGAAGCACAAATATAAGAAAAACAGATAAATTGGACTTCTCAAAAACAATCATGCTTCGAAGGACACCATGAAGAAAGTAAAGGCACCTACAGAATGGAAGAACATACTTGCAAACCATATATCTGATACCAGACTGGTATCCAGATCTCATGAAGAAATCTCACAACTCAGTAATAAAAAGGCAACTAAGCCAATTTAAAAATGAGCAAAGCAAATGAATAAATATTTCTCCAAAGAAGATACACAGATGGCCAAGAAAGACATGAAAAGATGCTCAACATCACTAGTCATCAGGGAAATGCAAATCGAAGTTATATGATAGATAATGCATCACATCTGCTAGAATGATGAAATTAAAAGAGACCATAATTGGTGCTGGCAAAGATGTGAAGAAACTGGAATTTTCATCTACTGAAATGAAATGTGGTGGAAATGTGCAGCTAGTCTGTAAAAACAGTCTGGGTATTCTCACAAAGATTTATACAGACTTACCATACGACCTAGCATGTCTACTCCTAGGTGTATACCCAAGAGAACTGAAAATATATGTCTACCCAAAAACTTGCACACAAATGTTCAGAGCAGCATTATTCAATATAACCAAAAACTAGAAGCAATCCAAATGTCCATCAACTGATGAGATCAACAAAATGTGGTATATCCATTCAATGGAATATTACTCAACAATAAAAAAGAATTATATGTGCTAAAGTGTAAATAAACCTTGGAAACATTATGCTAAGTGAAATAAGCTAGTTACTAAAGACACCATTGTATATGATTTCCTTTTTAGGAAATGCCCAGACTGGACAAATTGACAGGCAAAGAAGGTAGGGTAGTAGTTGCCAGGAGCTGGGAGGGACAGAGGAAGGAAGAATGAGTATTTGATGGGTATGGGGTTTCCTTTTTGAAATGATGGAGAGGTTCTAAAATTAGATAGTGATGTTTGGTTGCACAATCCTTTGAATATACTAGAAAAAACTGAATTGTGTATTTTCAATGGGTGAAGCATACAGTATGTGAATTATATCTCAATAAGCTATTAAAAAAAAAAGGTATTACAGTGATACACAGTATATCAGATGGTCCCTGACTTAAATGATTTAACTCATGACTTTATAGTGGTGAGAAAGTAAAAAGATTCGGTAGAAACCATAGGTCAGATTTTTCAATTCTGACCTTTTCCTGGGGTAGCCGCAGCATGCAGTATGATACTCTCTTATGATGTTGGGCAGGAGCAGGAGTCCAAGCTCCCAGGCAGCCACGGGATCATGAAAGTTGTAAACAACCAATATACTGACAACCATTCTGCACCCACACAGACATTATATATTTCCCTTTCAGTACAGTACTCAATATATTGCATGAGATCTTCAACACTTTATTATAAAATAGGCTTTGAAACTATGGAAGGAGTCTCGGTGTCCATCGAAAGATGAATGGATAAAGAAGATGTGGTTTATGTATACAATAGAATATTACTCAGCCATTAGATACGACAAATACCCACCATTTGCTTCGACGTGGATGGAACTGGAGGGTATTATGCTGAGTGAAATAAGTCAAATGGAGAAGGACAAACATTATATGGTCTCATTCATTTGGGGAATATAAAAAATAGTGAAAGGGAATAAAGGGGAAAGGAGAAAAAATGAGTGGGAAATATCAGAAGGGGAGACAGAACATGAGAGACTCCTAACTCTGGGAAACAAACAAGGGATGATGGAAAGGGAGGTGGGTGGGGGGTGGGGTGAATGGGTGACAGGCACTGAGGGGGGGCACTTGATGGGATGAGAGCACCGGGTGTTATGCTATATGTTGGCAAAATGAACTCCAATTAAAAAATATGTAAAAATAAAATAAATAAAATAAAATAAAATAAAATAAAATAAAATAAAATAAAATAAAATAAAATAAATAAAATAAAATAAAATAAAATAAAATAAAATAAAATAAATAAAATAAAATAAAATAAATAAAATAAAATAAATAAAATAAAATAAATAAAATAAAATAAAATATAAAATAAAATAAAATAGGCTTTGTGCCATATGATCTCGCCCAACCATAGGTTAATGTTCAGTGTTCTGAGCATGTTGAAGGTCAGCTGGGCTGAGCTATAACAGTTTGTTGGTTAGTTGTATTACATGTGTTATCCACTTACTATATATTTTTTAAGATTTTTTATTTATTCATGAGAGACACAGGGAGAGAGAGAGAGAGAGGCAGAGACACAGGCAGAGGGAGAAGCAGGCTCCATGCAGGGAGCTGGACATGGGACCCAGTCCCGGGTCTCCAGGATCACGTCCTGAGCCAAAGGCAGCACTAAACTGCTGAGCCACGTAGGCCACCCTTCCATTTACCATATTTTTAGGTTATGATGGGTTTATCAGGAGGTAATCCCATAAGCTGAGGAAGATCTGTAATATGTTAGGTGCCTACCATTATATTTATATAATGACATTTCCCCTTCCCAAATGTTTATTTGTTGTGCGTGAAAACACGGTGAAGATATAAATAAGAGGAAGGTCTTGGTAGCTGGGCATCAGAGCCCTCCCAGTATAAAATATTTCCATGTGCTGAATATGTGTGACAAAGAATTTACATGTAGTTCAGAGTGACATCAAATTATGGTGCATTAAAAAAAAAATTATGGTGCATATATCCTTTTCAAGGCTCAGTCACTTGAAAACTTTTCAGTTGTAAAATGCAAAACTGGCCACTCTTTGAAGCAAAACCACTCTGTTCCCAGGGTCAGTAATTCCCACAATATGCTAAGAAGAAATGGGCTCAAGAGGCAGAAATCACATACTTACATTCCTCAAGACTGGAAGTGCCAAGAGCTCAAAGGAAGTCAGATCTACCACATACTGTCCGACTCGGCATTCACGTTTTCCAGGCGGAGGCTCTGCCCTGAATGAAAAGACAGTGCGTTCTTTGTTGAAAGACCCCTGTATTGATTTATGGTTTGCAGCTACTCCAGGGAGGGTCTGGCCTTCCACATATGCTAAATCACCCTTAAAAATCACCTACACAAAAAGTGGTGGTATGCAAAGCTAACCTACTTTCATGTTTTTTCCTGAAAACAAGAGTGCAATCCACCACCACCACCACCAGCCCTGGCAGTTACTTTGGGAGCTCATCCCAAAGCTGCGGAGAGGCAGCGTAACAACAGAAAAGTAGCATAAGAAACAGGATCACAGATTACAAGATGCTAAAAACCTATTACTTGTTGAGGTAAGTTTTAAGTGAATTAAGATAATTTTATACTTTTTCTTAAGATGGTTTCAATCTCTTTTTTCTCTGAGAAGTCCATAAAGGCCCAAGATTCTTTCAAGATAGAAGAGATCATGTGGCTAAATCCTGTGTCCAAGGAGAATAAAATACCATAGAAATGAAATATCAGTACCCAATTCTAGACAAAACTCCCCGCATGCCGGATAATGTGACAACATCGAATCCTATTCTTCTCCCTCCCTGTCTGACTTCTTCGGTGTAAAATCCATCAACAGGCACACCAGAGGATTTTAAAACCTCACTGGCTTTCTGGATCAATGTTGTTTTTCCAACTCCTAAAGAAAAACAAAAACAACACAAAAGCTCATTAGGAACCAGTCCCTTGCTATAGGACACACAGCACTCACTGCCTCTGAGAACAATTACTGCAGGAAAAGAAATGGGCTGCAAGCGGATTTTATGAATATTAAGTTCACTTCAACTTTTATTGCTCCAGGTGTTAAGACTTTGTAATTCCAAGCATAATAAAAATAGGAATGGGATCTTAAAGTTTAATTTTGAAATTCTAAAACACTTTGTCACATACACACATACGCAATCCCAGAACCACCTGAGGGGCTCTGTGGCAATAGTCTGCATCCTCTGAGATGAGCTTCTAGAACCAGGGTTACTCTCCTCGTGGGTGGCCACACCCTTTCAACAGGTCATGTGTGGGTCACAGACTGGGCACCTTAAAACTAGGATTTCAACCTTCCGAGCACTCTGGACCTACCTTTATCCGTGAGAGAATCCCATCACTCCTCCATGGACTTACAATGCTAGGTCTCCCCAGAACAGCCCCTTAAATACCACTAACACCACTGGAAACGGTAGTTTTTAAACTTTCTCCCAAGAGCAATACTATCCGGTTGACAACCCCTTCTGTGACCTCCTCCAGTGTCCTGAAGCATTCCTCTGGCTTGCCCCACACTCTCCCAAATTACAACTCAAGGGCCTCCATCCACCCCCTCGTCCACCCAGCCTATTAACTCCCCTGATAGACTCTGCTGTGTTTACAAGCACCAATAGGTGCACACTAGTCACCAGCCCTGTGGAGCTAGGCACTGTCCTAGCACGCTCCACAAGCATTTCCTTGGTTAAATTCTCACAACTCCCCCTCTTGGGCGCTTACCATTCTCGTTCCCTCGTTCCTGTTTTACAGATGAGGCCCAGAGAGGTCAGGTAACTTATCCAAGTTTATACAACTAGTAAGGACCATACATTTTAACAGGGGCCTTTGTGTGTCACCATGACTTTGTTTACAAGTCTTGTTCCATACAGACTGAAGTCAATGGCATCATGATGACCCAAAAACTGAAAAACGGGAAGCCTCCAGCAAGTCTACCAGAGACTACTGTGAGATACCACAAGGCTGTAAATCATATTATGTCTTCGGCTGCTGACACAGAGTCATCAGGGTTCCCCAAGAACCCTTTTAAGCTTCCTTGAGATAAACCATGATCTGTTCTCCAAACGTCACATCAAGAGACAGTGGCAGCTGGCCTCTTGGGACATGAACAGCAACCCAGCCACATGCTCACTGTGGCTAGAAAAGAATCATGTAGGGTTTCCATCCCAGCTCTGTCCCCCAGTAACTGCTGCTTTAAGAAAGACACTGAGGGGGGTGCCTGGGTGGCTCAGTTGGTTAAGCATCTGCTCAGATTATGATCCCAGGGTCCTAGGATGGAGCCTCGAATGGGGCTCTCTGCTCAGTGGAAAGTCTGCTTCTCCCTCTATCTCTGCCCGTCCTCCTACTTGTGCCCTCTCTCTTGCTCACTCACTCTCAAAAAAAAATAAAATATTAAAAAAAAAAAAAAGTCACTGAAGAACCTGTTTAAGGTAGGTCAGTGGCCCTGGTAGGTATGTAGGTTGGTACTTTTCTGAAAGGTATCTTCCATGTGCCCTCCACAGCACGCAGCATTCCTATCGCTATGAATTCACCTTTAGCAAGAATCAGACCACAGCACAAAGATATAATGAAGCAGGTTTGTGTGTCAGTATTCATTATAATAGCAAAATATAGAAAGCAACCTACATGTTGATCAGTAAGGGAGTGATAAATTATGGTACTATGTATATAATGACATATAAACATGCAGGAATGCCACGCTGCCATTAAAGAGAATACTGTTTACCTAGATTAGCCCAGAAAACAGACCACAATATATGGATATACGGAGAAAAAGCAGGTTATAGTCACAGTAGGAATGTACAGTATTATTCCATTAAGCTTTTTAAAAAAAGGGGGGGAAGTTGGGCAGCCCAGGTGGCTCAGTGGTTTAGCGCTGCCTTTGACCCTGGGGGTGTGATCCTGGAGACCCAGGATCCAGTCCCACATCGGGCTCCCTGCATGGAGCCTGCTTCTCCTTCTGCCTGTGTCTCTGTCTCTGCCTCTCTCTCTCTCTCTGTCTCTTATGAATAAATAAGTAAAATTTTTTTAAAAAGTGAAGTCTATGTATCTATAAAAGATGTTGCGAGGGAACTGGGAGAGTTCACAGCACTTATTTCTGTATGTTGCAAATCCTTGTGATTGCCATTTTCTTCTTTAATATTTTAATTTTTTTGGTCTTATTCTATCTCATTCTAAATGTAAAAAAAAAAGTTACTACATTTTGAAGATAACACAGAGCAGCTGTAATAAAAGGGGATGCTGTGCATCCTGCATGTTGGATAGAGCACCAGGAAGCAAGAGGAGGCACTGGCTAAGCCCCTTCCTCATCAGCTATAGAAATCTTGTTTCAATACTTTTTCATCCCCATCAATTAAGCTGCTACCCTAGTGCTGTCTACACTAAGAGGTAACACCAATGCTGAAGGAGACCCCAAAATGACAGCTCCACACCACGCACAGGCAAGAAGAGCAGGTCAGAGAGCTCCAGAATCTGTTTGGTTCTAGTTCTCGCATAAAGCTGACCCTGAGATAAAGACTGAAGTGCAGGTGGTTTAACTTGGAAAGCGACCGCCAAGACCTCAAGGGAAGTAACTGCATAATCAAGCAAGTCACATTTGTGGGCAGCTAATCCCACTGGGGAATCCTAGGAGACAGTTTTAGACAGTGACTCCATTCTCCTGTCTGAGGGGTAAGGAAGTAAGGGAGTTTACCCACTAACTTCCATCTATCACGGGTTCCAGACTGCTCCTGGGGGGCAGGAATCCCTGGCCCTTTCAGGCCTGCCCTGTGCACAGCTATAGTAGAATCTAGTGACCAGAGAAAGCCCTCCAAGATCAGTCACAGCTGGAAGTTGGGAAAAATGCTAAGTGCCAGGGACACCCTGGTGGGGCACTGACAAGTCACTCAAAGTGACCTCTTTGAGAAGATGTATTACCTGATGACCTGGTATGTAGATTAGATTTAGACAGCAGGCTGATTTTGAGATGGAATCGATGATAGAAACTATTAAAAATTTAAAAAAAAAGAAACTATTAAAAATTAAAACACCAGACTCTAACTCCAAAGGGGGAAAATAAAAGTCGTACATAAACGGAAAACTACAGATCACTGGCTACATGGCTCTTCTGTGATTAGCAGCTATTACATGTATTGGGCTAATCAAATTACACTGTAAGTGTACCAGGAAGATGGACAGAAAGAGGGTGACTGGGCTTGAACACAGGCTCAGCAGAGCTATATCAGAAAATTATTTGAGTCTTTCAACTGTGTGTACATAAACCTTTTATAAAAAAAGGGACAAGAAGAAGAACCAGTGGTGACCTGGCCAACCTCAGGCCCAGGCACCCCCAGGACCCAGGCAGGAATGATGAGATCATAACAGATCACTTCTGTTATGAAACACAGTAGACGGTGTGGGGCCAGCCTGCTGAGCGATAAAGGACTGACAAATCAACTTCCAGAGGACAGTCTTTTGCAGGATTACGGAGTACTCTGGGTATTAGAAATTCCTCCAACCACACTCTTCGCAGCTTCCCCACTGCCTGGTAAAAAAATAAGATTCCAAAGCTTGCAATATTAAGTGTGGCCTGTGCTACTTAAGACAAAACACAACCATTAAAATAAAGTGAAAGACAACTCTAGGTTCCCAACGACGATCTCGGACATCTGAACTCTCAGCTAACCTCAACACTAGGCCCACGGTGCAAAGGGGCTGAAGAAAGAGATCCCTTCCTCCTCTCCAAGCCCATCTTTCTGCCTTACCACCGTCTGATGCGGACCTTCCTGGGTCACACCTCCTCACACCTGCGTAGGGCCTCGCCGAAAAGGCGTCTCCTCCCGCAGGGTCCCGTCGGAAGGAACACTACCGCGTCTATTCGCAACCGCACAGGGTTAGGGGCTTTGCCCAAGGACCGCAACCGAGGGGCCATTCCGCTCCCGCGGCCTCACCCTTGCAAGGGCCTGGGAAGGAGCGGGGGGTTCATCTTCCGCTTCTCTATCCTCCCGGCCAAAGTCCGCGCCCCTGCCGGGCGGATGCTCCCCCGTGGCCGTCGGCAGGACCGGGCCTCCCGGAGCTGCTGTCTCACAGGTTCACAGCCCGGAGTTAGGCGGCTGCCGGCGGACCCCGCCCTTTAACGCCGTCGTGGAGATGCCCGAATTCCACCAAAATGTTCTTTTTCTTACCAGCGTCGGCCTCAGGTCTAATGGCATCTTTCGTACTTAAAATCGCGCTTTCTGGGCCCGTCATTTAAGCCGGGAACTTTAGGGCCCGCCGCCCCTCCCCCACCCCGGCCGACCCCCGCGGCCTCCCGGAAGCCGACACCTGGGCCAGGTTACCTGGGGACCCCGTCAGGAACACGTGGCGGGCCATGCCCCTGGGCCCGGGTGGGGGGGGGTGGGGGGGCCCCCGCCGGGGTCGCGGTCTGGGTCGCGGTCTGGGTCACATCCGGGTTCCGCCCCGCAGCGTGCCCCAGGCCCCGCCTCCGCCGGCCGCGCATGCGCCTCAGGGCTCCGCCTCGGTCCGCGCCGGTACCTCCGCGGCGGCCTCGCTCGCGCATGCGCCCTTGGCTGCTGGTGTCTTTGCTCCGCGAGGTCCGCCCCTACGGGGTCGGTGGGGAGGGTGGGCGTCCGGGCTTCTCCGGGTCCTGGTGCTCAGACCTGGGTGCGGGGCCCCTGCAGGGTGTCTCCGAGGAGACGTGCCCTGGAGTGTCTCTTCCTAAACGGGTGCGGGGCAGATGGGCGCGGCCCTTGCCCCAACGCCCGGACCCGAGGGCTGACATTCCCCCGGGCTGCGGGCTGCGGGCTGCGGGCACAGCCCTTCTGGAAGTTAGGTCTTGGGAGCCTCCCTGCAAAGGGAGGAGGCTTCCACCGATCCCAACTCTGCCCGCTGCTGTCAGCCTTGGCTGCGAGCAGAATTGCCAGTTAAAGGAGCTTGCTGCCTGGGCTCCACTTCCCTCGGAGCGCGAGTGTTTGCTCTCGCGTGCGTCCCGAGCATCCGCATCGGTTTCTGTTGTTTTGAACTCCCCAGCGACTTCTAAAGTCCGCTGTGGCTGAGAACCACTAGTCTGGGCGGACTTTGCGCACGTGGAGGTCAGAAACGGGCCTTTCTTACCTCTATACCCTAAACGGAAACCGAGGCAAGATCCAGGGGGAGGATCTCAATGTACAAAGAATTAGGTGGCTTTCCCCCAACTCACTTACCCACCTGAAGTGTTTCAGCCGGCGAAAAGAAGTGGCAATGGCCTTGGGCCGAATTTACCTGCAAACTCTTTCAGTCTGACGTGTGTACGGTTTGACTTGTGATCAATCATTCTCCATCCTGGCTGAGAAAGCAATTTCGCTGAGTGCTCAACTTAATTGGTTTGTGCCCACACAGGACCTCCAGGGTCCCCTTGGCCTGCTCTATACATCAGTCAGATGGCCTCAGATTTTTAGCTATTTAAAAAGTAATCATCTAAAAAATAAGATTTGTACGGTGTAGCTGTTACCATCATTTTGGCAACATTTATAAAGCTGCATCACTGGTAATGTAGGGCTTTCCACCTACATTTATCTTTAACCTCATGCAAATTGGAATCAAGAACAGCTGATGCAGCCTAGTGAGCCCATAGTAGAAGTTTCCAAAAGAAAGGAAATAAGTACACGGTCATAAATGCACTCTTATTTTTATCAATGACATTTAAACATTAAATGCTAATTATGTAAAAACTCCCATCAATAAAACCCCATTTATAATTTGCAAGGATTACTAGAAGTTGGATTCTTGTCTTTTGATGTTATACCTGGCATTCTGGTAGCTACTAATGGGCATTAGTTTAGGTGACTCAAGGAACATACAGATTCCAGATGTAGAGAATCGCTGTCTCAGAGAGCAAAAAGAAAATTCTGTAATTGGATGTCAGTTTTCTTCCCCATAAAAATGATTTATTTTGGGGTGATTACATGGTGTCTTAACTTCCTGATAATTCATTGACAGTCTTTGGATGTGTACAGTTTCTTCTATGTGTTATACATCAATAACAGATGAAATATTTTATATTAGAGAATAATTAGGAACACATTTTAGAATAAATAGGTTATTATAGTATTGTGATGAGTCTAACTTTTGCTTAAAATTGAACCATGGTAGAATTACTTAAGGAACAGGTGATTTCAATTCTTTCTTCCTGTAGCACCTGGGTGTGGTCTCCCTTTCGGTAAGATGTGATATAGTGCTTTATTAAAGCAGTTTGTAAGTACATGTTTAGATTTCCTATGATTTCAGAATCCTAAAAGTTCTAAAAAAAAAAAAAAGCAGTTTTTTTTGTTTGTTTTTATATCTCTGCTTTGCCAGGACTGTGTTAGTTTTAAAACTGTCTTTGGAACCCCTTCTATCCTGGGCAAAACAGGATGGCTGCTCATTCTACAGTTAAAGGATGGAGCAGGAGGGCACCTGGGTGGCTCAGTGGTTGAATGTCTGCCTTTGGCTCAGGTCATGATCCCAGGATCCTGGGATGGTCCCTCATTGGGCTCCCTGCAGGGAACCTGCTTCTCGCCCTGCCTTTGTCTCTGCCTCACTCCATCTCTCATGAATAAATAAATAAAATCTTAAAAAAAAAAAAAAAAAAAGATGGAAGAGCACTTAAGAAGCAAAACAAAGGGCTTTCTCCAAGTAAATGATATAGGCTGAATGTAAATGAATTCATATGTTGAAAACTAATGTCTAAAGTGAGGGTGTTAGGAGGTGGGGCCTTTGGGAAATGATTAGGTCATGAAGGTAGAGGCCTCATGAATGGAATTAGTGCCTCTCTAAAAAGGCCCCAGAGAGATCCTTAGTCCTTTCCACCATGTGAGGACACAAGAGAAGTCTACCACCCAGAGGAAGGCCCCCATCCCATCATGGCACTCTAATCTCAGACTTTCAGCCTCCAGAAGTGTGAGAAATATCTGTTATTTATAAGTCATCCAGTCTGTGTTTTGTTACAGCTGCCAGAACAGATAAAGGCAGTGTGCAAGCTGTTTTCTTCTTTAATCATTCAGTTGTTCTGGATATAGGATCTTATTCCTGAAGAAGTCATCTTGTCAGTACATAACTACAGAGCCTATTTAAGACAGTCTGTGTGTGAAGCCTGATCCATTGGTCCTCCTGGCCTCCTCACCATAGACAAGCAAGGATGGCTTACACCCTCAATACCACCTCTTCCTGTCCAGCATGCCTGGATGCTCCCACCACGTCAAGGCATCACAACATCACAACATCACCACACACACCCTCACTAACATCCACTGGTATCTCCCTGGCCTGGATACAGAACAAGAGTTCTGAAATGTAGTTTGTGATACATCCTGAGTACAAGAAAACTGAGACCAGAACAAAGATTACAGCTACTGAGAATGTGAAAAGAGGAAAATGGGAAAATCAAAAGTGATCACCATGTTTTGCCCCCAGCATTTATTTCCCCATGTAGGAATAATGCCTATGTTTCCTTTTAGGGCCATCCCTTCCCCAGGCCCAGCCCCCTGTGGTTAAAGAGTGGATTTCCTTCTCCACCCTTTCTCATGGGGGTCAGGGAGGAAAAGGGGGATGCATATGACCCGGGCCTGGCCAATGAGAGCATTCCATCTTTCTGGCTCAGTGATTGGTTCCAGGAAGCAAATGATCCAAAAGAGTTCAGAGCACATAAACTCAAGATTTTATTTGACCTCTTCCTCTTGGTTTTAACCATGTCATTCCCTGCACCTCAGGAGTGAAGACAGCCATCAGCCAATGTGACTGAAGCAGAAAGTCAAGGGGAGTCCCCTCTCAACCTGCAAGACAGGCTCAAATGTCACTGCCCTGGGAAGGCTATTCTGATTCCCTGACCCCTCACCAGTGCTCCCTCAGCACCCCATCTGGTGACACCACAGGAATCTGTTTATATAATTCCTCTACTCTTGCCACCCAATTATGAAGCCCTCAAAAGGCAAGACCCTGAGGGGTCGTTTCTTATCCATCTCTTTATACACAGCATGCCGCGTAGTACTTACAACACATTCATACACCCTCCGCATGCCAGGAAGTGTTCTAGGTGCTGGGGGACACAGCAGTAAATAAAACGGAGTCTCCCCTCATATAGGTCATATTCTAGTTTGGAGAGACAAACAAATAGACAAGAAAGTATGTGGATAGAATGTAACATAGTGGTAAGGCCATGGGAAAAAGAAAACCAAAAGAATGGGGAATGCAAAGGATGTGTATGCATTTTACAGAGGGTGCTCGAGGTGTTTACATTTTTCAGGACAATAAAATGGTATTGTGTTTCATTATCACGGAGAAGATACTGCCTGAGCAGAGCTCTGAAGGAAGTGAGCCTTGTAGAAGTCTGAGGGATGGCAATTTAGAAAGACAGATTGGTGTGTGCAAAGGTCCTGAGGTACGAGTACTTGGCTGAAGGAGGAACAGCAGCAAGCCAGCGTGGCTGGAGAAGATTGGGAGAGAGAGCTGGATCAGAGATGAGGTCAGAGTGGAAGCAGGGGCCCAGATTCTTTAGGCTTTATAGGCCATGGTGAGGACTCTGGCTTTTACTATAGCTGCGTGGGAAAGCCATTGGAAGGTCTTGAACAGAGGAGTAACATTATATAAGTTATTTTTAGGAAAAGATCCTTAGGCATCTATGTGGAAAATAGACTGCAGATGGGCAGGGTGGAAGCAGGAAGACTGTCAGAAGGCTACTGTAATAATCCAGATGAGAGATGATCATGCATTCACTGACACCCAAAATAGGTGCTTGGTAAGTGTTTTCGTGAGTAAATGAGTAAGTGAATGCTATCCCTGAAAACAGCACCAGCCTGACAGGGAAGAGGCAGAGCAATGGCAGAGGGGTGGGAGAGTCACACAGGCTTTCCTGGCCTTACAGAATTGGTGTAATTTAGGTAACATTAAACAGTCATACTCAGG